GGTGGCTTTGTTGTATACTCGGTAAGTAGTGCATGCGGTGTATCCCACAAAATAGAAATCATCGGCCTTGTAGTTGAATTTGGGGTTGGATTTGAGGTAGAGAAGGGTGCAAGGACATCCAAATATTATTAAATGAGCAACCGATGGTTAATGATTATATAGAATTTCATACGTGGTCTTCATCTGAGATTTATTGATCAGAACACGGTTCTACACATAGCAAGCCGTGTTGGTCGCTTCAACCCAGAAGGAGATCGGCAACTTGGAATCACAAAGCATCGTCCTTGCAACATCTATTAGAGTATGATTTCTCCATTCTACAACACTGTTTTGTTGTGGTGTCCAAACAGAACTATATTGACGAAATATTTCCTTTTCTGCATAGAAGTAATCAATAACTGCATTCTTGAAGTCTGTGCCATTATCAGTTCGAAGCGCCTTCACCTTTTCATTTTTGTGATTCTTAATCATCACATGAACTTATTGATCAAGTCAGCAATCCCACTCTTGTTGGATAGAAATAAAACTGATGTGAAACGAGAGTAATCATCAATAACAACAAGACAATAATAGATCTTGTTGATCCTAAGGACATTGACTGGACCAAACAAATCCATAAGAAACAATTGAAGAACCTTGCTGATTGAATTGACCATCTTTGGAAAATGTGGCTTGCGATGATGCTTGCCCTTAGCACACGCCACACACTTTTCAAAGGTTATGAGTTGTTTGACGGTAAGACCATGCTCAGTCTTATTTTTAGCAAGACGATTGAGGTTTTTGGCATTAGCATGGCCGAGACGAAGATGCCAAACCATGGCATTGTGTTCTGAGACTTTTGAGAAAAGACAAGTGACTTGCTCGGGAATGTTATGATTCATGTCAATAATAGAGGCATTCCCTTCTCTTTCAGATCAAACCAAAATCCATTCTTCAGATATGATTATTCTAGGCTTCAGAATGAGACATTCATTGTTCATAAAATGAGTCGAATAGCCTTTATCACAGATTTGAGAAACGCTCAACAGACGATGTTTCAGCTCAGGAGCATAGTTAACATTCTCAAAGCTAAGCACACTATTTGTCATTGTACCCTTCTGAGTGATCTTTCCTCCTTCTCCTCCCGCAAAGGAAACAAACCCCCATTAAAATTCAGAATGTATTGTAATTAGGAGATGTCTCATGTCACGTGCCTGGAACAACCACTATCGACATACCAAGGTCTGATGATATTCCTCCATAGTTGTTCCTGCACGATGTGTAGGACTAACTAGATTTAGGTACCCATGTCATAGAAACATTGGATATTCCCTTGTTAGCAACAACCTTAACTTTTTCACTTGATAAAACAGATTGATTACTAGATGCACACACAGAACGATGAGGTGATTGAACATTTGAAATTTTGGGCACCCATCTGTAGTTAGGTTTAGAAACATTTGCAAATGATTTTAAAATGCTTTTCTTTGGTTTCGATCGTTTGGATTTTCGTCTAAAATTAGCCGAAGACCCAAATGATGACCTTAATGATATAGAATTTCGCTTAACTACTTTCGGTCTCGTTAAAGTACTTGTTGCATTTTTGTTTGAAGCATGTTTGTTCTTTTCATGATTAGCCTAATTTCTTTCTTTATTGATGTTCCAATCACCATCAAATTAATGAGATCTCGAGGATTTTCTCTTAAGAGATCTTCCTCATGACTCATTCACTACCCTTTGAGTATAAAAAGGAAGAAATACACGGTTTGGGCAATTTCTCGCAATATGACCAGGGGTTGCATAGTTAAAACATGTCTCTTTCTTTACATGAAAACTGTTACCATTCTTCTTTGGTTTAGTGTCTTTATTTTGTTCTTTACTTTTCCCACATGTACATGTGCATGATTCAGATTCAGTGATTGGGTTAGGTGGAATGTATGTGCTAGTGACAGATTCACGAGGTTTAGATTTATCAGACACATTACCACACTTATCAGAAACATCTGAATCGTCAGTGTTCACAACAATATCATCAGAAACCGAAATATTAGTTTTCAAATTAGAAACTAAAACATCATTGTTTGAAATTGAAACATCAGCTTGTAAAACTGGATTATTATGATAAACACTTTCTCCAATTGTTTGTTTGCCTTGGACTAAAGGTAAATCTGCATATGAATTAGAAACATTAGTATCCTTTACCCTAGTACTACTCTCTGACACAAATATATTAGGTTTTCCATATTCATAATGTTCTTCTCTTTCCATATCTTCTTTGGTCATAGGGATAGGAGTGTAACTGTGATTAAATGAAGGAGGAACTCTTTCATACCCTAGACCCCTTTTCTGATTATCTTTAAATTTCAAACTATTTGCAATCATGGACTTAACTGTCTTAGTTGACAAATCAAATTTTTTGAAAATAAAATCTGCATTTTCAAATTTTCTTTTCAATGTGTCAAGTTCAGTAGTCAAAAAACCAAGTTGTTCCTTAAGATAATCATAATTCACCCAATTCTTACTATACTCTTCCTGAAGTTTCCTAAAGTCTTTGGTTTTAGCCTTTAATTTCTATTTCATGGGTTTCTGACCTTTTCTAAGGGTACAACCTTTGTAATTAAGGTCCTCATGTTCTCTACGCAATAAATCAATTTTTTTACGCAAAAAACATAACAGTATCAATGCATTTTTTTAGAACAAGAATTGTGACTGAGGTCTTTCTTCTCAGACTCAAAAGTGGTAGATACTATGAAGGAAAACTATAGCTGCATCGTTTCGGGTTTAGGATCTTCTTCAACATTTTATGTAGGATATTCACTAATCTGTGCCAGGTGAGCATTCTCAGCTCCTGAAGTTCAAAGTTTGAATTTGATCTTCCTAGCCAATTGTCTAAGCCACTGCTGCTAAATATGTAGTTTCACTGTTGGATGTTGTTCCTCTGTTGTTCATTACTGGTACCATTGTCCTATCATGGTTCTCTCTTCTATCTAGCTTCGTAAAATCACAAAAAAGTGCCTTCGCTCGTGATAGTTGAAGCATCTCATCTTCCCTTTGATAAACCCAACCTTCTTATCAACATTCATGCCCCAGTTGCTTTTCCTTGAATTCTTGGCAAACTGTTTAGCCTTGAATACTGTCATTGCAATATGCCAAATAATATCCATTTCCTCATATCCTCACGGTGAATTAGGTTAATATTAGCAAATGAAATTTGGGGAGGTAAGTCTCCAGCTATAAAAGCATTGTAGCAATGTACTAGACCAGAGGCTAGAGCTATATTCTCTTCAGCTTCTTTGGGTGCTAAAGTGCTGATATAAGCTTTTGACGAAGAAGCAGGGTGTTGATAAGAGAGTTGATAAGGCATGGTGGATGGAATGGCATGGTTCTGTGGAATGGTGAAAACTGGAGTCTGTGGAACAGTGAATGAAGAGAAGGCACTGTTTGATGAAATGCCCAGATTTGATATGGATTAGGAGTTTACACGGTTTATCTCACGTTTCTTATCATCCAAATCACAAGATTTATTGATAGCCATTGTCTCAGTAAGACTAAGCCGGTAAAGATCCTTCGTCTTTTTGATAATAGAAACATTCATGTCCTAAGACTTGGGAAGAGAGTTCAAAAGCTTATTTTTAATCTACAATCGTGGTACAAAATTCCAGTTGTGCTCATTTCAATGGTGAGTGTAATGAATCGTTGGAGTTGAGCCTTAATAGATTCTCCAAGAACATGGTTAAACTAGTTGAACTTTTGATGAAACATGTCTTGTCTACTCTGCTTCATGTCATCATTACCCTTATAAACCTCAATCAATCCTTCCCAATGTACTTTAGCTTATTCATATTCTTTGAAGCCTTGAGCAATGTCAGGTGATAGATCCATAGTAAGAGTTGTCAGTGCCTTTTCATGTTCCTCAATTTTCTCAATATCCTCATCCTTGTAGTCTTTCACTAGTTTGTCAATTGTAGCTCCATTCCCAAGAGTAGTGGTAATCCTAACATGGACTCTAAGAATGTTATACTAGACATTGAAATCTTTCATTTTGATATATTTTTTAATTCTGTATTTCCATTCAGGAAATCCTTTGGCGAACAGTAGACGTTGAATTCTTATGGTTATTCCCATAATTGAATAAAATACATGATGAATAGCACCGTGTTGTGGTTACATTTAGTTAATTTTGTTAATTTATCAAAAATAAATTTTTTCTAAAAAGAATGAAAATCACAACCGAAAAAGGTTTACAACTAAGAAAGGTTCACAACCGAAAAAGGTTTAAAGTTGAAGAGGGTTTACGGCCGTACACGGTTTACAGCCAAGAACGGTTTACAACCGAAAACGTACAGTTTTTTTTTTTTGACAAAATGAACGATTTCAAGTAGATTTTGGATCCTTCTAGCCTTCAACTCACAATCAATAGAAAAAACCCAACAACAACAACAAAAAAATGAATGGTTTGCAAGAACAAGCATGAACAACACCAAAAATAGATACTAAACTAGCTAAAAACTAAGCTTGATCAGATTTGAAACTTGATTGGCTCTGATACCAATTGTAAGTCCCCAAAACTAAGAACCAAATAGTGATCAACACAGAGAACAAGCCAAAATGATAAGAACAAGAAGTAGTAGAAGCAAGATTGATCCAAATTGCACACGTTTTATATCAACCAAAAACATCAGGTACAATGGACTCAAAACACATACACGTGACTATAAACTACTACTGACATCTTACATCTACTGACACTATTTATAGGGAACAAAAATTGTAAACTCGTTTACAGTCGCAAACACCATATGGACCGTAAACGTTACAAGGACCATAAACACCACCCAACCGTAAACCCATATGAACACATGAACAAACACTAACAAAGCCTATCCAAATGAATGCCTAGTTCAAACAAAAAAAAATGACTAAACAACAACAATCTCTATGGATGATGTAAACTTGATAGGGTCCTCCTCCTGAGTCTCTGGAAGGTCCTAATGGGAAGATGAATCCGGGTAGAATGAGCTCTATGTGGGTACTCCACCGAACTCTTCATCATGATGCTCCTCTTCCTCGATGGGCGCTTCATCATCTTCAAATGACTTATCATCAGCTGATACAACTTGCTCTTCTTTCCGGTAAGGATGCGACACGTAGTACCATATCCCTCTGATATCCTTCATAAGACATTAAATAGGAAGATGTTTACGAGATATTATATACAATACATATAATTTCCTATAATATATAGTTGATAGTACCGTATCTTTGGTTACTCTCTATATTGGGGGTATGTCAGATACCTTTCTCTAAACTGGATATCCTCAAGGTGTACCATTCCGCTATGTGTTGTATCCTTTTCCAATATGTCTTGATCTAAGGCTCTAGTATTCAGGAAGTTGATCTTTTGGGGTTTTAAGTACTATAACACTCCTATGGTGAAGATACAACACCCATATAAACTTGGCGGTGACTGAGCGGTTCACGATAGTTAGCCACCACGAACGGGATGGTTGCGTGACCACCCTAGACTTCTTGCATCCGACTGGCTCTCTCTCTTTCAAACGTAGGAGGTGCGTGACTCCGACGATTTTCGACTCCAGTGATGGATAGGAGGTGGCGGGTGAAGGATGTGGTGTAAGCGGCGACTATAGCACCCTCCTAGGGTTAGGGTTCTTATTGCGGTGGCTTTAGCACCCACTCATCCGAAATTGAAAGTTGTTTTGATGCACACCAAGGGCTCGCTAAAATGCTTCAAAAGATGCACACCAAGCACTCGCTAAAATTTAAACGACACCTCTTAGCAACATTATTCTTTTAGAATGTATTATTGTCTTTGTTAAATTTTGATGTTTTTTTTTCCAAATTTGAAATTTTTTTAGTTTTATTCTTTAACAATAAATGTAATTCTTCGCAATTGTTACATGTATTGTATAAGAATTAATGTAATTTTTGTTTTAATTCTTCAATTTATGGTTCGAGAATTTTGTTATTCTACAAGAAAATTTTTAAAGTCATGATCAAGTAATACGTTCAAGAATATTTTTATTATTTTATGGTTCAACAATATTTTTATTTTTGAACATACTCAAACATATTCTGTCAGAATGTCCAAATTAAAAACCTTATAATTCGTAAAACCGGATTTTTTAAATTAATAGAATCTTTGATCCCATAAAAGATGCAAATTTCCTTTATTAAATTTACGTTAATTGACTAAAATACCCTTCTAGTTAAAGTAGATGGTACTTTTCGATAATATTTAATTTAATAATATGTATTAATCACTTTCTTAAAATAAGTAAACTGATTGGCCCACATTTATGCATAATATAACACAATAATTACTTTGAATATAATAACCAAAGTCTCTCTCTCTCTCTCTCTCTCTATATATATATATATATATATATATATATATATGTGTGTGTGTGTGTGTGTGTGTGTGTGAATTTATAGTACTTTACGCGTAGTTCCAGGGTTTAAATGAAGAAAAGAAAATAAGACAAAAGAAAGTTAGGAGGGAAAGTGGTCCTTTCATTTCCCTCCAATTCTTCCCATTTCCCTACTTTAATGAAACACGAATTTCTTTTACTTTCTTCTCATTTCAACTCATTTCCTTTGTTCTCTCTTGTTAAGTTCAACTCGAGAACAGGGTGTTAGGAATAGTTCTTTGTTTCTATTGGTTTAAATTGTTTTTAGTTTTTTAGTTTTTTTACTTGGTATTTTCGTTGGTTCGCGGGACATCCGCGCCACCATTTACAGCAAACGTGTCATCTTCCCTTAAACCATTGCTACCACCGCCTATGATTTTCTTCTAAACACGTTTATGTATTGTTATGGTTTCTCGGTCACCTATCCTCACAAGGGTAGGTTCGTTCTTCTTCATATTTTATTGCCTTCACTATCTCCATCGCCTCTTCGAGGTTCCCTTACGACCTCTGGAAGCATCTTCAAAATCCTAAACCCAATCCATCACTACCAATCCTCCAATAAGATCTTCCACTCCTCGATTTTCCATTATGGCTTTTTTTCCTTCGAGATTTTCAGAATCCATTCACTGACTTTCAATCCTCTTGCTAATGATGCATTCCTCCTCCGTGATTTTCCATTTATCTATGCTTGAAGATGATTAGGAAAAACTGTGAGAGGGTTGATGAAAAGAAGTTGAACGATGAGAGAGAGAGAGAGAGAGAGAGAGAGAGAGACATCGATGATTTCTCTTACAGATAAGATACAAGGGAAGGAGGATCAAAAGGTGTTCTAGTTTTTGGTTAACTATTATTCATGGATTTTCCTAATCAGGTATGTTGTTCTCCAAAAATTTTCGCTTTCGTGCAATCATTTCACGCCTACGTAATTGCTATCCAGGTCTGCAAGTGCAGATGTAATTAAATTTGTGTCCACATATCTTTGTACTGGTGCCGACTTCTGCGTCACTTATAACTAAGGTATTGGTTCTATTTTTGGTTATGTTTTTCTAGATAATAGAAGAAATTTCCCTATTTTTTTTATTTGCTCCATTTTTTTGATTATGGGGTTCATAACAGGACGATGGATAATATATATATAAGGGTGTAAGCTTTTACTGATACGTTGATTTTTTTTTTGTTTAAGGATTGAGAGAGAAGAGCTCCACTTGAAAATTTGAACATTACTTCCAAGCATAAGCAAAAACAACCAAAAACTAAAATGACTTTCCATTAAAAGAATTCTCATAAACTTGAATTTGTTACATAAATATATCGAGAAGAATTGTGAATTAATCTAGGTTTTCTATGTTTGAAAAATCTTTTTTCCACTTATGTTGTACAATACTGTCAAACATATTCAGAGTTAGAGATGCTAAAAGTATTTGATAGTTCTTACATTTCCCAAACTATTTTCTTGCCATTAAAAACATTTACACGTAGAATCATTATATATATATATATATATATATATATATATATATATATATATATATATATCGGCACTTGAACATACTTCATGATAATGAGTGGGTTATTTTCATATATTGGAGAAGTGGGATCTGTGCATAGATGGAATCCTATCTCTTGAACGATTGAAGCTTCATAGACTAGGTTGAACATGAATACAAATATCTAAGTGGCTCATTCTTAGTTTATAACAATTACACACCATTGGTCAACACTTCACAAATATTCCTATTTTGTCCTTCTCCATATTGTTATAATAATCCTTAAGTTAAATTTATATTCATGGAATCCAAACAGATAATTCAGATATGCTATGGGACAAACTTCAAAGATTACCAGTCTGCTTCACAGAATCAATAAAAGATCTTTCAAAATCATAACGAATAAGAAAACAATTTGTATACATATTTTTTTAATTTTTAGCTTTTTAGATGTCTTTTAGTTATAACCTTTGGTCAATTTGTTCTTAGCTAAACTAGAGGATAAAGCAACAGTTTTATTTCAATTCTTATCGACACTTCTTAGCATGGTAAACACCCCCTAGTTAGTATACGATTAACTAAGTTGCTATTGTTTTAAAAACCACATTGACCAGTACTGAAATTTTGTCTGAATTAAAGTTAACTGAACAATAATAGAAAAGGAAATGGCTTAGTCTAGTGTGATTCTATTAACGGCAGATTAGCTATTATTTTTTTATTCTATATACTTTGAAAAGATATCTAATGGTATGGGTCAACGAGGATCAGCATTGTGGATAGTTTATGAATTGGTATTCTTAAAGGACATGCTTTATTATGTTGAATGTTTTCTTTATGAGGACCAAATGCATAATGTATTATCCTTTGAAAACCGAAAACATTTATGATAAATGATATCTTTTATTTAACATATTTCCATTTCTACATATCTATCATTCATTCTCGAATATATATATCTTATTTAGTCACACAATTTTTCACACATACATTACGGTCTACCCAACAAGGTTCAGATTTCAATATAGTACAACAGTAACATTTTTCCCATCCCGTGGGAAAATTACAATGGAATTTAAAGCAAAAATCAACGACAATCTTTTCTCTTGTAATATCTGATTTCGATGCCACCTTTCTACCAAGAATATTTGATGTGCCTAAATCACAACAATAAAACAAGAAAGTCAATATAATGAAATTAATGTGTGTTTGTGTGCATGTGAGAAAGAGAAAGAGAAACAGAGAAAGGAGCATACAATGACAAAGGGAGGCAAAAGAAGCCATGAGAATGAGGAAGAAAATTAGAAACCTACAACTAACGAAGGCCATTTGAAAGGTAGTGAAAAGTTCCAGTGGAATGATTGAATTGAGAAAAAAGAGGCTATTTATAAGTAGATGCTATGAAATATGATAACGGAATTTTCAATAGGCTTTTATTTAAAATTTATTACTTGAAAATTTTGGTTTAATGCATTGAATTTGCAATAGCAGTTATTTATTTTTGTATATACTCGAAAGGAAAAAAGTAAATATCAAAGTTTATATAAAAATAAGTTATTGTAATATAATATTAAAATATAAATATAACAAACATATAATACTTGACTTATTGTGAACTCGTAATGAATATTTTCTAAAGTTAAATTTTTTTAATAGAGACATTTTTTATAGAATAATAATATGTCTTAGTTATCATCGTACAAAGAGCGAGATGACAAACGAGCAACAAACTACACTACTAAACATTTTTGTATGGTAAAAAACTAATTCTTTTGAAAACTACATCCATAGATCTAGGGGATATAAAATTGTTATGCATGATTTGTTGTACTCTATTAAGAATCTCCACCACATCCGGTGCGAGAAAAGCAAATGCATCAAAAGCAAATGGTATGAAAACGTCTTGATTTTTCATGTACAAGTTCTCATATTTGATGACTTTTCCTGTAGCATCATTTAATGCAGCTTGTCCGCCATGAAACCCCCAACCCTCAAGCCCACGAGTGAGGATATCCCTGTATGGTGCACACAAGTTTGTTTCCATCCGACCCATCCAAAAATTAAAACACCAGCGGTCTAAGGGTTAACCTTCCCTTGTCGAGTCAATTAAGTAATTCACAAGTGTTTCTTTCGTGGTAGAAACCCCAACACACTTAAATATGTCAAAAAAATGTACCTAACCATATTGTGCCTATATTTGAACCCGATAGTTCCTTACAGTGAACTCCATGCTCTGCAAAAGAATCTAAACATGTCGTGCGACACACCTCATGTTGAGACGCACTTCCATATCTTGGATAATTTACTAGAAAATGAACTCACCAATGTATGTTTTGATTTAGGAGAGGGGGGAGGGGAAATGTATTTAGCAGTAAAACAGACCACATCAATATCTAAAAGCTTGTTACGGAGAGAATTCAAGGCATAATCAAAATTAGAATCCAAACCAGATAAGCTGCTATACCATAAGATGTGGTCTTGAATACCCAAGATTGGGCCCTTAAACTCAGAAAGGATATGAGGTAACTTCTAGTACTGAGTATAAACCCAAACCACCAAATCTAATGGCTTAGGAAGAAATTCTCCATTGTATCTCGCCAAAAAAGGGCTACCGAAAACCAAAATGTCCTCAGTCACCCCCACACAACCCATAGTCAAAGAATAATGTCGCCTCGTCTATGTGAACGGATTGGTACATCCTCAATCCAAAAAAAAATTTAGAAATATACATACAAGACCGAAGCAAAAGGAGGTCACTCTGGGGTTAGAAAATTATGCAAGAAGGCACATCAAATTTATAGTGTTTTTGGCTCTCTTTATGTTTATGCTACTAGTAAAACTAACATCTCTACTAAGAGCTCCCCTAAGAAGTTTCAACCCCAACGGTGCCCTCCCTATGCCAATAAGGAATAGCCTCTTATGTAGCTTCCGTCAATCACATGAGGTCTAAAATACCTCGATTTTCTTTATATTTAACTGAATTCCCAATTTTGAGCCAATAAACTTAATTATGCACAATGCTTTGTCCACTACCTCTAAATCTCCCCTAAGTGTTCCATCATCAAGGTACCTTGTGTGGAGAAGAAGCTTGTCATTGTCAGTAATATTATGCAGGAGAGGGTGCAACATAAGGGAAAATAGAATTGGTCCCAACAGTTCTCCTTGGTGAAGCCTAGTAGTGGAGCAAATATATGTGTCTCCTAGATACAATCTTATTGCTTGACCATATAGGAATTCCACCCATAAGGATATAAAAGGGCTCCTTAATCTGACCTCATGAAGTAATGCATACCTTTTGTGAAGGTTAAAGGAATTAGAGAAGTCCACGGTAAGCATGGAAAGAGACTTGCCATTGTGGCGCTCACTCAACACCATGTTCGCGCGATGTAATATGGCCCCAACACCACACGATACCCAGACACCAAATTCAAAATCATTGAAAAATGTCTCTATAGTTTCACTTAATTCCTTTAATCCCAAAATTAGTTCCAAATTAAATTCTGATTAAATATTAATTAAACAATATGATTTCTAATTAATATATTATCTCCATAATACATTAATAAATCATTTATTTTTTATTTATAATTAATTTATTAACCAAGTAATAATTTAATAAATCATTCTTATATCTCGAAAAATTATCCTATTCAATTGCCAGGTTTTAAGGCAACCCAAATGGACTGTGCTACTAGCAATTTATGTTTTTACCAATTAAAGTTATGCGCTTCAATACATAATCCAACAATCTTATCAAATACCACATGACTTAATTTTGAGCATTCCTCAAAATGCTATTACAATGTTTTAAACTAGATAATATGATTGTATTCCATATAATGGAAAATGTTTGCGTTTGTAAAGTTTATACAAATCAGGTTTGCCAAATCTACTTGACATAACTCCATAATATTTAAAGCATGAACGTCAAGTTGGTTCTATAAGTCTTTGTTGATATAAGTATATGTATTTGATTGAATTTTAGTATTTGGATATTGTAACAGTACAAGCAACATATATTGTAATGAGTTGAGATATTAGGTATGCATCTATCATTAAATAATTGTTGTGTTCTATATTAGCATATTTAAATCCTTGAATAACCAGGTTTTTGTAAATGTCCATTATCATTCTTAGTTTTTGGGGTATCTATGAGGTAAGACTAATATGAGTAGATTGGTTGATTCTCATGGAGATGAGATTATCCAAATTTGCTACCAACTTCATAGGTACTTGATTAAAAGAGTAAGTAATGGAATTAACCCACATCAAAGTCACTTTATGGATCATAGACATGCGTGATGTTTTGATCAAGATTGTAACTTTGTATTCTTAGACCTGAGATGCATATTTGGGACTTGAAGTGTAGGAATTGTTGTTCTTTGACATGGTTTAACAATGTTCCATAAAAGGCAGTCATAAGGGCCATCGTTAGGTAAGACATGAACTTCATTGAGAGGCGTATGTAGTCAAGATGGGATTTTTCCTCTTATTTGTTGAGAGTCATACATTTAAGCCTTACTCAAAGTTCAACACTAAATGAGATTGATCACGATACATATGTCGTATTTAACATGATGTCTACGACACGTTTAGTAATAAGTGTAGCTTAGAGCTCTTGGAATCGGTTGTTGATAAGATAACTCCCTTCATATGTTGTTAGGGGCAATAACCCATTGCTAGACGTCAAATATTGTCTATGTTATTCTATAATGAATATTGTGCAAGTGGGAGATTGCTGAATCTATATGTCCCAGAATAATTGTTGAGTGACATTGATAGTAATATATACGATCCTATATAGTCACACCTTTATGAAGTTGGCACATTTTGTATATTTATTATTAATATGATTATTAATAAATAATATCAATTCTTGGATTTTAATTAGGGAATAATTATTGTTTTGTGAAAATAATAATTATAAGAGAGTATTACTAGTTATTATTTCATATGGTATGAATTAATAACTCATGCATAACCATCTGGACTAGTTGGATACTTTTGTGTTTTAGCTAAAGTCAAATTTTATATTTTATAAACTTTGAGTTTGTAAAACTAGAAAAATATTTCTTATTTGTTTACGTTTGGCCAAAAGTTAATGATTGTGTGGGGGGTTGCTTGTAACCTCCGTCCCTTGTCCCCCATGCATCTAAAGTAAGGTCATTACTTTAGACTATATTATGAAGTTGCTTTTGCTTTTCCATCGGTATATAAGAGAGTGTTTTGCATGAGTTTTTGGCTAGTTTTTCACTAGTTTTCTTCTCTTCTACCTCATGTCCGAAACCACTCTTGTCTCTTTTTTCTTGTTGTCTTTTGAAGATTGTTGCAATATTAGATGCCCTTTTGTGATGTCTTCTTTAGTCCTTATTTGAGTTAAGAACTTAAAGGCTTAGGACACTCAAGAATACAAGAAGGATATTCCAAGGTGTCTTACTCTTGATGATGGAAACAAATAGAGAAATCACACTCATTAATGTTTTCCTATCTTCATCAACACCACAAAACCAAGTGGGTCAAAGACTTCAAAGTTTGTCATTCTAAAAAGTCTTTCATTGTTTTTATTTCATTCTAACCTCTATAAATGGAGCCTTGATGTTTTTATTTCATTCTAACCTCTAACAATTGTTATGTTAAACTAACTTAGATTTTTTATCAAAAGCATGATTACATAACATTAAGGTACAATTCCTAAGTATTTCTTGGGTACTACCAACTTGGCAGTTACCCATTTCTACTTTATTGGATTCCTTATGTTTACTATATGGGTGTTTAATAATTTGCAAAACTTGGGGGTAATATAGCTTCTATCGGTGCCGATATCAAAAGGTATATTTTCATATAAATCATCGATTAGAAGCATACTCGTAACTACTTTTATATCGTGGGGGATACTTTGGCTACTATCACAAATCCTCTACTCCTAGAATTACCTCCTTGTTCTTTCAACATTCGACAATCCTTACTAATGTGTCCAACTTCCTTACACTCATATCATGCTCGACCTTTTGTTGTGGATCCTTGATTGGTTAGGGTTTTGCATCTACTGGCAAGATGACTGTTCTTTGCACAATTGATACAAATCCAACGTTCTCCATTGTGACAATACCCACACTCATTGCATCTTGTACTACTTACAGTGGTAGTCCCTATTGAGGTTATCGTAACCTCAAATGCTTGTACTACTTCCCACTTGTTTTCTGCTGGTTGCCTAGCCTTCCCTTTGGAATCCTATCCAAAATTCCATTTTCTACTCTACACCTTCGAAAGGTCAGCCTTCTAGATCATTGTACCACGACATAAATCTTGATTTGTTAGACTGATGGCTAGTCTTTTAGCACCGTCGAA